CACGCGGCGCCAACGGCCGGACTAGCACCGGGCTGACTGGGCCCACTGAAGGAACCTGGGTGCCAGGAGCTCGCGCTGTGAAGGGGGAAGACAGGAAACACGGGACAATTGCCCCCTTCCGAAGAGCAGTCAGGACACTTCCAGGCGGTTTAAACGCAGGACTGTCCCTTTCAAAATGGGCTAGGGTGACCCGACATCCAACTGTGCCAGCTGCCCAGTCTGCCCTCCCGGCTGGGACGGGATGGGACAGTCCCTGCCTGCCAGGGCGGAAGGGCCCCGCCCCCTCTGCCCGCAACAGGAGCACGCCCCCAGGAACGAGCGCCCGCACCGCCAGCTCCCAGCGCAGGTTCCCCCGCGCCCCTCAGCCAGCTGGCTCACAAACACCCATTTCCGGCCCCGAGGCTTTACCCAAAATAGCAGCCCCAGCGGATGAGCAAGCGGTCGTTAGGGCGGCAGCTGGCAGCCTCTCCGCAATTACCTGGGGCTGCAGGAACCCGGCTGGGGGGCAGGGGAGGGACATGTGCTAAGGACAAGCCGCTTGCACTAGCTTCGAGCTGTGGGACAGACGGTGCATGTCCTGGGGGCTCGGCATGCACCCTGGGGGCTCCCTCGCCCCCCTCTGGCCCCTGCAGGCCTTCCCCCGGCTCAAACCATGCTGCAGCGTCCCGCCACTGCCCTGCGCTAACCCCCGGCTCAGACCTGTGGGGGGACCCCCGGCTCAGACCCGTGGGGGGACCCCTGCAGCAGAGCCGCTCCCCATGGAGACCATGCTCCGCGTTTGCATCTGTCTCAGCAGGGCTGGGCCGTGCCGGTCTCTCCGCAGTCACCCCCGGTCTGTGTCTCAAGGGGCTGCTCCCCTTCACGCACACAGAGCGCGGCATCGCCACGGGCGCATGGCCGGCAGGGCGGGGCTGGCTCTGGGCCAGCTCAGACGGACGGGAGACCAGCGAGTCAGCGCCAAGGCGGGGCAGGAAGGGAGGGCCCCGCACCCAAGGGCCTGAACCCTGCCTGCTGCCACGGAGGTGCAAGGGGACAACGCGCCAGCGCCTCGGGCAAAGAGCAGCAGCTCCAGCGTGGCAGGGCGTGAGCCCAGCGCAGCAGAGCAGAGCCGCTGCAGAGGAGGGATGGAACCGGTTAAGTGTTGTGTTTTACCAGTTAACCGCTTACACGGGGGCGGGGGGTCAGGGTGAACTGTAGCCAGTCGGCATCACCCAGTTAACCATTCACATCCCCACTCCAGAGCCAGCTGGGCCGCAGCAGCACTAGCCCCAGCGAGGCAGCGCATGGCGGCCATGGCTATAGGCACCCACCTGCCTGGCATGCCGGGCGAGCCCAGCCTGAGACCCTCGGCCTGCAGGGATGCCTGGGAGCCGAGTCTCTGCTGCAGCCCCCTTACACCAGGCTTTGCCCCAGCAGGGGACGGTGCCTTACCAAGGGCGAGGCGGGGGGTAGGGGAGCACTGGAGGATAACTGGGAAGGGAAGGGTTCAGTGAGAGGATCAGACCACGGGCCCTGCCTGGGCTAGAGCCCCCTGGGCCCACCCCCCAGCTGTGACAGGGTCCCACAGCCAGCCTGCTGCATTCCCCAGTGTTGGCGCAGCGCCCCGAGCGTCATGCTCCAATAGCCACCCTGGCCACTTACCCCCTCGAGCGGGAATATGCCCCCCCCCCCCCCGTGACCGATCTGGGAGGCGCCCTGGCACCTCTCCCGCATGCCCCGTCCTGGCCCGTGCATAGTGCAGCAAGTGGGGGAAGCTGGCCGGCCAGCAGCCCAGTGTCGTTGTCACAGAGGGCAGACTGCGGGGCTGTGGCTGATAGGCTGGTTCCCTCTGCATCGGACCACAAGGATGGACTAGGCCTGGAATACACAGGGCCCGTTAACACAGCTGGGCGGGGGGGAAGAGGGAGAAACGTCAGAAAAAATTCCATTTCCAAGTTCAGTGAAACTTTCCAGCCAACTGCATTTCTCAACGGCACCTTGTTGGGCCTGGTCCCTGGAACCTGCCAGGCGTTTGCAAGGTGGTTTATAAGCACTTGGAAAGCAGAGGGGCTTCTCCGTCCAAGCAGCGTTCGCAGAGGAACCAGCAGCCAACTGGAGGCGGCAAACCAGGCCTTCTCAGCACTAGGATTTCAGCCAGTGGCGCAGCTGCACCAGTGCA